ATGTCATAACATGTCTGCATCAATGGTCACCACAGCAACATGAAACTTGGCTGTGTCCATTGGTGGATTCCAGTAAATAATATCTTTTAAGTGTCCCCAAAGAAAGAAGTCCACAGGGTTCACGTCTGGTGATCTTGCAGACCATGATACAGGGCCACCACCGCCTAACCACCTGCCACCAACCATAAGATATGCTTCAAAAAGCCCGGATCGTGTTCATGTTCCCGTAAAAGCCACTCACAATATTGGAGATTAAAATCATGAGACCTTCAACCCATGAGTAGTGGTATCAGTACAGGTCTAGATCCTGGATGATTAAATGAACAGTGCAATGTTCAACATGGATTCTGTGCTGTGATACATCCTATGACCCTTGGTCTTCCTACAGTGTGATTAATGTAGTTGCCCCATTTGATGGTTATGCAATAACTCGTAGAGAATTCTTCCATTTAAATTTTCATTTTGAGGTCTTATGTCTTTTCCTATTGTTATTATGTGCCATTTTACTCACATCTTGTGAGTGTACATTTTTCTGCATAGAATCAATCCGCGAAATCAGTGACAAGAAACTTGATTTTATCTATGGACTATTATTTATAAACTAATGTGAACTAAATATTAAGAACTTCTGCTGTAGAAAACACTTTTCTCCTCCACCAGTCCCAACTTACCAAGTTATCAGCTCAATACAACACATCCATTTAGCAGAGAAACTTCAGGCTTAAGTTATCCCCTCACCCCAAGCGCCTGTACGGCACATAGCGGGACAAACTTTACTTTCCGTAGGTTCAGTCATACAGACATGCCAGATGTAAACTGAATAAATGTCTTGGAGTTGATGGACAGGATAGAGCAGCTACTGAGGAGTGTGGCCAGTGCTATTTACTACCACCAAAGACTGACATTACAGCATTACATCCTGCCATACCAATGGCCAAAACATGAATCCAGTCTTCAGATGCAGCTTTGCGCTGAAGTCACAAGATGAACAGATGAAATATTTGGTTCCAAAATTTGTTGCGTTTGCATATTACTGAAGGCAACCTGCGTAGAGGATAATTTATTAAACTCTTTGTCTGTGTGTGTGTAACAGGGTGTCTTGAACCTTAATTAACATTCTAACAAACAAATTTTCATTAAACTTGGTATGAACATCATGCTGACAGAAGTTGCCTTACTTTTATAGTTTCTAATTTTCCACCGTCAAGAACATTAACATGGCAACTGTCAGTAAATCTGAGGTAGTAACAACCTTTACTTTGCATTCTGAAATATTTTAAATTGGGGAATTTCTTGACACCATTAAGTTCAGAATCCTTTCCACTTCTCTTTAACGAGGAAAATATATGAGTTCATACCTTTAATGACTTGAACATTTTCACAGGCATAAATGTCATAAAATCCTTCCAAACTATCCGCCGTGTCAATGTTGATTCTAAGAACCACTGTCACGCTAACCCTGATGATGGAAACAGAGAAAATCTCTGAAAAGTTGATTTTTGACTTAACACCACAGAGGATTTTATAATACTTAATATCTTCATCTGAATGCGTGTGAAAGTTGGTACATCACCTTGACAGAAGGGCTTATGTGGATACATGGACATAAGAGATAGGATAAATAACATATTGAGGAGTTTCATGATATTTACTCTTCATCAACTATTAGGGTATTTAAAGAGTTGCACAACATATGTAACGCGCAGGAGGATATTACAAATGCATACAAAATTAAAGCCGTAAAACCTGAGGTGAAGAGACCACGTGGTAACACAGGTGTATTGTGTACTGACATGTAGTCCCATCTTGAGAACCAACATACGAGGGCAGGTAATAGTTTCATCTGGCTCAAGACTGCATCCATTGGTGGGCTATTGCAAACATGATAATGAACCTTCGAATTTAATAAATGGCTGGCAGGTTCGAGGCCGGAAGGATGACTGTGAACTTCTCAGAAAATAAGATGACTCCGTTCATGGGGTTAACTGTAGAGCACAGTTTCTAGAGTTTTGTGTGGCAATGTATAACATGCAACACTTGTTATGATCGCATTCATATAGAAACTGAAACAAAAATATGTCTGTCTCTCGAACGCCTTTGCAAGTTTCATATGTGTAACATCTGATGCACATTTTACAAAACAGTTACATAGAATTTGGTATGGAGATAGATCATGTACATAAATTAAATTCTTATGACCCTCTTTCTTTAAAAATGACAAATATGGTGACGTTACAAAACGTTTATGTCATTTCTCAAAATGTTCACATACAGGGAACTTTTAGTAGTGCAAGTTACATGACGTTTTGTATCAATGCAGACGTTTTCATGGGGTCCACATCGTCTATATTGGGCATTTAACAATAACATGCTTCTTCAAGGTAATTTCACTAGACGACATGTGTCCCTGTGGCGAAGGAACATGCAACTTTAAGCTTACACTATGATGTAGCCAGTAAATTAAATAATAAACATTCTTATACTGATGCAAATAGGCACAATACTGGGCAAAACACCACGATAGGCGTCCTTCTCCATGAAGCTACCTTCTTCCACACTTTCAAAACACAGCTAGAGCTAAGAACGAACTGAAGCTGAAACACCTCAAGCGCGTGCTTCGGACGGGTCCATCTCATACGATCAAAATCAGTCCTTTGAGCAAGTGTCAGCATTTCTCGCTCGGTCTATGCCAGAGTAAACGGTGCAATATGTGGAAAGTCAGACGTCTTCGCACTCGTCGCCATGAGAACGCCAGATCTCACCGTCTAGGTCTTCGATTACTGATTACGCCTCTGGCCTTTTCGTGTTCTGAATTGATGTAAACCTATGAAAATTACACACGGAGTAGGACACCATGTATGGGCGACGAGACCGTTGCTAGATCTCAGTACATTCGATTACACGCCTGTAGTATCAATTGGTGAGGTTCATTAACGAATATCCAATTGGAAAGAATGCGGGTGGAAGCGGTCGTGGCCAAATTAACGCACTGCAGCTACACTTGACAAGAAAGGCCGAAGGAAACTACGCATAACGTGAGGATAGCCGGTCCCCGCGCAGGTACGTCATCCGGGACCTGGTGAATACGAAGAAGGCGTCCGAACTCCTCGGCTGTGACAGTGTGTAAACCCTGATCTGCCAGTAGAAGTGACGTCGTTGATGAGGGATCGATCTGAGTTCGCATAAGGTGTGTGTGTACACCAAATTGAAATTTCGAATAGGTTTCAAATTTTAGAGAGAGATAAAGGTAATGAAGGTGTGGATATCAACAGGGAGTGTGAAAGTGTCAGAAACTGTATAAAAATTTCAGCCAATGAGAAACTAGAATACTACAGGAGAAAGCAAAATAAACTATGTTTCATGAAGAATGTTAAAAATTAATAGATCGGAGGAAGCAAACATAATTTCAATGGTTGCAGGACCCAAAGACAAAGACGTAAATTCCCTATCCTTCGCCCGCTCAGTGATTGGGTGCACGTGGCTTGTGAGACATGGCGTGCTGCACTCTAAGCAGCTCATCTCTACTCCGATGTGGGGGTCCGCTGCCCGTAGCCACGCATGGTAGCTCAAGTGTTGCAACCGAAGTGTCTTCTCATTGCGACTAAAGCACCTTGGTACATTTGTAACGGGCAAATTCGCGGCGATTTTCTTATTCCATTCTTCGCCGACCACATCAGAGGGTTTCGACTCAAAGTTACCTGATGAAGGAAACTCATTATTTCGGCAAATTATATGGCATTTGTATCGATCAAATGCTGACTTACATCACCCACGAGAAGACTGATGCTCAGCAGGCTAAATACGGCAGTCCCTGAAAATGTGGCCAAGTAGGGGCACGGAGTGGTATAACTTCGGCTACACTGACGTTTCCCCGTGGTTTTATTCAGTACTAAGGCAAATATCATTATATAATTCAAAAGGGGCACGGGCCTGTCTTCCCCAATTATGGATGCCTTCAGCCGAAGTCATGTCCTTCTCTAGTCGCAGAGGCCATCAGCCAAAGCGATCACAGTACTTCTGGGTTTACATCTCATAGATCCATGTAACCAAAATTCTTTCTAGAAGGGACTTTTTACTGCCTACCTGATGGGATAATCTCCCGTTAGTAGCAACACCCACTAGTATTAAAAAAAGTCAAGGTCTTCTGACATATTAATCCCGTTACGGAGTCAAGGTTATGTTTACCATTTCCATGAACGCGTTTCGTATGCAGGAAATGTGTTACCTAACAAGGGACGATGTCTTTCGCTTATGCAAGACACCGCCCTTAGCGTTTCGGTTGGTGGTGGCTTGGTTGAATTGTCACTTCAACCCTGATGATAGAGACAGTACGTTTCTCCGACCAGTAAACGCGGCAAAAAAGTCCCTGCAGTGAAAACCTTACATCTAAAAAGCGCACAAATCTAAAAAAATTGAAAAATTTCAATTTCAAAAATTGTTTCGAATATTTCGAAAATGTTTTGTTCTGACCCTCATGTTGTGTTCTCTCATTGGTCAAAATGAATAATCGGGATTCGAAGGAAGAAAACATTTTCTCTGGCCCAGGGGCGATGGACTCAACAGCACCCGGGGTCTTTGAAAAATCGCCTTTAAAATTATACACGTATAAAAACACGCCGTTATTTTTAAACAAGGGCAAATTAAATTGCAAAATTGATTTCAAGCCTCTTTTCATTACTTTTAAATTCATTTTTGTTTGCACAGAAAATATTTAATATTGATTATTGACTTTTTACATTTATGATGGAATGTAACCAAATTATAACTTGGAGTAATTCAATTTGTATTTATTTAACTACAAAGAATATGCAAATATGAAACGCAGCTGTTCTTATAAAATACGAACACCTGCAACAATCTCGGCCTGCATGTCATAAGGTTTATTTCACATTTCTTATGCACGCCTGAATGAACCGTATTGCACTCCATTCCTTTACTCACTGTTGCGTCATAGGTTACGTCGGCATTGTTGTACTGGTGTAAACAGCAGGCGACAATCGGCTTTCGTCAGTCTGGAAAAAATTGTGCTTTGAACCGGTTGCAGATGAAGTGCTTCGAGAACGAGATACTTTTGTGTTGACTTCCTTAGTGAAAACCTTTCGGAATAACTCAAGTACTTTTCTTGTGCGAATTTCACTCTCTGCATTCTATCTTGACGGTGGACATCGACGAAGAAACTAACGAACACCGAAACGTCGGTAGAAATGTCGAGTTTCAGTATCCAAGTAGATCAGGCTGGCTCTGGGACGAAAAGGAAGTTACTTGAAGAACGTGCGAAGAACGAAGTTTGTGTGAGCTCAGAAAACTGCGGCCATCCAACAACAATCGAAGCAGTGTTTTCAAATGGACAAACTGTTCCTTTTAACACTGCAGCTTTGCAATTGATGACAGCAAAGGATATTGACATAAACGAGTCTTGTACTATCAGAAATGGTGAAATTGAAATTAAATTTCAAAATGTCAACAGCATTTTCAAGGAGATTTCTGATACTTATACGAATTCCAATTTAGACTTTTCTGAATCCATTGCACCAACGGAACATCCAGTGGCAGAAAAACACAGTGATGATTTTCTTTCGTGGATTATAAATGTTATAACTGAGGCATTGTCTAACGCAGCTGAAGTCGAGGACGGCCACAAAACCGGAGGAAAAGATGAAGAAATTGCATGCTCAGGTATGTGGAGTGCGCTCTGTTCTTTGCGTTCTGTATTAAATTTTCCTAAAGAGCAGAGTCTCCTTTGTGCAAATGAGATTTTCCTACATTTCCTGGTTTTATGTGGGCCTAATAATTACCGCCTTCCAATTAGACCCTGTGAGGTCCAGCTCATAACTTCATTATATATTTCTGCAAAGACAGAAACAGCATTAATATTAGTTATTAATAATATACAACGGAAGAGATCAAACACGTGTTTATATATGAAATAAATTATTTTATTCTTATCGTAAAATCCTAAGGCTTTCGTGTGACCACTTTTCGACAGGAAGCGAACAAACGTTACTCTGGAGGTTCAGTGTTCGAATCTTGACTGGGTATTTGTATGAAAATTCTTCGCTGTTTCTTTCTATTTTCAGGATGATTGTTAGAAAAAGTCGCCCATTTATTCCCGTAAAGATCCCTCCTTCATCTGATTACCGTAACTTGTTCATTTGTGCTAGTACACAGGCATGCATGGTTGAGGTTTTTATTTATCTGTTGCTTATTTAACGACGCTGTCAGTAGCTCAGAACAGTGGTGCTCAACCTGTGTGCCACGAAATTTCCACCTCACTTTATAATTATAACCCTAATGAGAAAAATAATTGTTATCTTGTTTTCTGCTCTGTCTCAGTTTTATTTTTCTTTATTATGATCGGGCACACAGAGAGCGGACAAGATCTAATAAATTGAATTTGAAAGCAACGAAACACATTTTGGATCAAACGGTAGGGAATATTATATTTTAATTTATTTGAAATATTTAATATATTTATAATAAATGACATTATAACAATAAAGATGGATAATTATAAATATCAAATAGAACATTTTTCGGTTGGTATCGAATTATAAGAAGTTGTCGCGCCCAATCAATGCCATAAACTGTCTAACACCCCACCCCCACCCCGATATGGGGTTGGTGTGCCGCCATGACTCTTCCACGATATTTAGTGTGCCGCGAGTGTAGAAAGGTTGCGCAACATTGCTCTAAACAATATGGCAGAAGTACTCAAAAGAAGATTTCATTAAAATAGTTTCGTTTATGCAAGTTACGTGGCATGCACGTGTATGGAATATGTTGTAAATCACATAGACACCAGTAGAAATGGTCATTGCAGGTACACTGACAAGATGTTGACATGAAAATGCATATCAATGTTCCTTTTTAGAATCTATTTAGATTAATGAATTTTCATACATTGAAGACAGCCATTTTTTTATGCTGTTGGCCAAATTTTGATTCTTATAGTTTCAAAGTATGTTATATATTGATTCCACTATTCTTTCAGGCAAGGTAAACAAACAGCAACAGAAATCTGACCATCCAAAAGTCCCTCGTCCGCTAAATGCATTCATGTTCTTTTCGAATGAATGGCGTAAGAAGTTGGCTATCAAACATCCAGAAGAGAGTAACAAACAAATCAGCGTGAGGTAAGTTGCAATACAAAATGTACTACAGGGCAATTACTTGTTAACAATTTAATGTGCAGAGCTTTCGTGAAGGACAAATTGTCTTCAAAGCCATTCGAGTTCAGCGGACATGTATGATCATTGAACGCAAGTTAACGATTATAAACATGGCAACGGTGCGAACCTGTAAAATTATATGTGAGAAATTTCTCGTCTTCAGAATGCGCACTTAGACATTTGTTCTTATTGAACAGAGAGAAAAAAAATTGTTTTGTGGTGACGCCGATGACGCTGATGATAAAGTGTGAGCCTTGGTAATTAAAAGAAATACTGACTCTTGTAAAATTCGACTCACAAACTCGGCGCATTAACTTGTTTGCTAATTTGCATTTTATTGCTGGATTACATAAATCTATATTTACCTTATTATAAACTGAACGCAGGATATATTGGACAGAAGTGTAGCCTACAGTAGAGAAGTAGAATTTGAGTCCGCCCGGAACTATTCTATTACTGTAAAATTGCGAAGGATCCAAAATTTGCAGATACTGCATGAGGTGAATTCGAAATTGGATATCTCATTTCCATTTGCTGAAAATGTTCTGATCGTCGAAAACAGGTGAAATATTTCGTGTGCTCTCATACGCCACTGCCTTTGCCTTTACCCAGCTGCAACCCTTGGACGTTCGTCCTCCGGTTCGTCCTACAACCTGCCTGCAATCTTACAAGTTTTGCTTCTTCTATTTGCAGACTTGGCGCAATGTGGAATACAATGGAAGGAGTGCAGAAGGACAAGTATTTTGCCTGCGCACATCAGGCGGGCGGGGAGCACAAGAAGAAATATCCTGGTAAGTAATTAATTCTCTTTCAATGTCAACAAGCAGCAGCAAGATTCCAAAAAAATGTTACCGAGAATTTTGAGGAAAATCACCGATTTTGATTTATTTGGGATTGACTGCTAGCGATTTTAAGTAAGAGAACTTCTGACGAGTATTCACTTCTAGTGACATATTTTAAGGTTTGAGTCGATCAGAGCTGGAGTGGCATAAGTCAACAAAAGTGCAAAAAGTCTATATTTTCTTATATTTCGAGTTCATTTCCTGCTAAGTCTACACAGCACCAAAATCCAGACTATAATCATCATCCTCGGCCTCACCGCCGTGAAAGCCCCTCAAAGTCTTGTGGTTATGTACGGGTTGAAGTGACTTCAACCTCAATACTGAAGCAGTAATTTACCAGGAAGACCTCACTTTAAAGTCACTTCAGTGTTATTAATTTCTGCTTCGTTTTAATAATCGTAATGGAAATATTAATTTTGTATTATCAGGAGCTTTCACGGCGACTAATTCGATGCCAACGTTTCGGAGAAAGATACATTGTATTGTTCCTGTCTTTCTGTAATAAACGATTTATGAATGTCGCTGATTTTCGTTCTCTGATGTCAAATAACGCGATCAGAAGCAACCGTTTGCGGAATGCTGTGACCTGAATGTAATTCTTTCCGTTTTTAGATTACGTCTACAACCCAAAAGAGATCCGCTTGCAGAAGCGTCTTCGGGAGCAGAAATTGCGGCGAACAGGACGCCAGTTGCCGAAGCGACGCCTCACCACAGCGCAGGCTTACGGCGCCCTTCTCCTGCCTGCCGAGGAACATCAATTGGGAGGTACCACAGGCACACAAGGTGTCGCTGCGTCAAAGGTAAGTCGTCGTCATTACTTCTTGGACGCAGTAACTCGCCTGACATTTGTCGCTTGCACATGGAAAACAAACAAGTGTGGAAAGTCAGAGGCGAGAAATGACTAGAGTAAACTCCGGGGTTTATCTTCCCCCGTTTGTTATGACGCATTGCAGTTGAATTTATTTAGTTGATTCCACTATTTAAATCCCTAAAACTCTACCCTAAGTTTTAAAAATTATTTCATCTGCCCTTGTGTTTCTCTAAAAAGGAACTGGCTGTAATGTTACATATAGTTTATATTTATAAAGACATTAAATATACATACGTCGCCATTTTTCTTGACCTACGAATATTACGTAATTTACTTCTTGAGCACTGAAATCTCCTATAAATAAACTTTTATTCCTGTTAACCATTTCTGTTATGTCACATTTTCATCACATCCGAATTGGGAAAAGAGCATCTGCAAAATATCCATCACGTTCACTGTAATAAAGGCTGAGACTTCGTCGTCTAGGTGTTCTGACGTCATTAGTCCCACGCCATTTCTTTCTTCTTCCTTACCATTCCACAAGACTTTATTTCATTTACTTAACAATTTACAGCCTTTATTTTTTGTTCCCTATTAATTTCCAGTGTCTTCATGCGACTCTTTTGCATACAGTTATTTACTTCTTGGTCTTAGCATCACTATTTCCATTCTCAGCCCTTCGGCACTGCTTGGTCTTTCATCTAGGATGACTGAAGACTTTCTGAGGCTAGCTTATTCCTTAGAAAAAGATTCCAATTTTTTCCTCTCCCACACTCAGAATGTTGCTGTTATACTATTGGCAGCAATGCAGTTGTTCAACATTCACTAAAATACCTGAACTGTGTGTAATGAAGACCGATCAGAAAATGTCATTACGATAACCTATCAAATGAATAAATTGTGTACAGGCATTCTTCGAAGGCAAAAGAATCTCACGAAAAACATCATCTGCCAATTCATTTCACCGTTAGCAGCTCTTGAATTCTAAAAGCCAATTCACTCGAGATAATGTAAACATTCC